TACATATCTGCATAACTTTGAGTGGATCAGTAATCCCCTTGAAATAATTGGTAATACTCAAGCACTTAAAACTAAGCACGTGTGTAATTGCCTGAAGGATTGGAGTCAAGGTTTTAAAAGTAGCTTAGATTTAATCTTACATGCTGTAGATACATACTTATATCTTACAGAACTATAGATATTACAGCAATGGGTTCTCACAGCTCAGTGTGTGTGGGGGGGTTATGTTATTTCATCAATTTTGGCACACCCAAACAGGAGTTAATGGGAATCTGGGCAACAGCAGACTTTTGTCTGGCTTTCTGAATTCTCATTTTCAGTCAGATTTTTGTTGTCCTATACGTAGATGACATCTGTAGATGGACCTACACAGTAAATCAAATACACTTTTAAAAAAAAATATTTTTCATTTGTACTAGAGAGTGAAAGTTTTCTTAGTCATGACTTGGGATTCTCAATTGTAAGAGAAAACACATACTATTGCGCATTCATATTTCAGTGAAAAGGAAAACCATCATCAATTATGTTAGAGGTGTCTGAAAGTATGTGACTGTCTGCTTGCAAACGCAGAAAAAAGCCTCAAACACTTCCCACTCAAGGCCCCTCATGCCAATTTGCAGGACGATTAAATAGCTTTTTAATTGCTGTTAAATTATGCCAGTTAAACTGTGATTTCATGCAAATATTAAGCTATAATGACATGCAGTGAATCATTTACCAAGATTTAGAACTTGGAACAAAGAGAGACAATTCATTCTAATCCTCAGATTCGGCTAAATTATGTGTCACTGGGCTTTTATGAATGTGGCCTGATTGCTTTGTTATCATTTATAAATTGTACAAAGATTATTTGACACATTGGAAAAACCTGGCAGCAATAACCCTCCTGCAGACATCTGTGTGCAAAGCGCTCAGGGATTTCGTCATGTTGATTTTTAAGGAGAACAAGTATGTTGGTGGTAAAAAGGGAGCCTCTTCTCACAGCAGAATTCACCACACTGGATTTTATGCAAAAGAATAAAATTCAGTTCAGATGGATGAGCATTAAAAAAACATGCAGCTCTTCTGCTTAGATGGAACTCAGCCAGAGTGTGAGCAATGTCCTTTGCTTCATTTGCAAATTATAATGTAAGGAGTATTTCTACCCTCTCTGTGGAGGAGACAGACATCAGTGTCTTAGGGAGAACAGCCCTGCTCTGAAGGCAACAGAGCTGACTTTATTCCCTTCCTCTGCGAAGGCAAAGTGAATTTTGCTGGTTTTGGAAGGGGCGAGGAGCAAACCCAACACTGCAGAAATCTAGTGAGGGCAACGCAATATTTTACACACTAATGAGTGATGACTGCCTGGAAAAAACCTGTTGCTTTTTAAGTGAAAACTATCCATTATTGGGCTTTTAGAAATTCATGCTATTTGACTACTGAATTTACAGTAGAAGAGCAAAAATTAAGCACTTCCTGAGAATGTACTCAGAACAAGCACCTGGCTGTGCCCCTTGAGTTCATCACTGCTTTTTGACACACATAGACACGTGTGGTAAAGATAAGCAGTGTCACCTGGTGTAGAACTACATTTTTCCTTTTCCAGAATCACTTACACTGGTCCTGTGAGACCTGCAGGAAATGGAAGGCAGTGACTGCAAACCAGCACTCCAAGCCTGAGTATGATGGATTGCAAACAAGTGTATAAACATATAAATATAACTATTCACATATAACAGCAGAGGCAGCAGAGGCAAAGATTTCAGGTATGTTGCTTGATTTTACTGCTGAAATATCATGTTGACTTTTAAAAGCAGAGGGTACAGTTTGTGGCAGAGGTTGCTGAACAGAGCACAAGTTTGCTGGGTTCAAGTTGTTTAAGCATGTCATGAGAAGAGACACATTCAGACTCAGACAACGAATACAAGCCTGCCTGACCTTGAAAAGATGGATCAATTCGTCCAATTACTTTCTAGTGGGAGATGTTGGACTTTATGTGCAGGGTAATCAGACAGGGGATTAGATATGATGCTGTTTGTTGCTCTCTGTGTATGCACAGAGATCACTGATAGAGTACTTGCATATGGCAAAGAAATACAATAAGAAGAAAGAGCAGCAGCAAGAGATTGATAAGAAGTGTCAATCAAATGAAAGGAGCCCAGGAAAAAGGGATTAACAATATATTCTATTGTAATTTTCACTCCTCTTATTGAAAACAGATTTGTATTACAGTTCTTTGCAAAGTGCACACTCTTCTTTCACAAAATGCAGCTACAGAAAGTAAAAAATGGGAGCAGCACAATTTTGGAAAAGCAGCCACTCTGTACCTACACAGAATTAATCAAAGTGGGTTTGAAGCTCATCTTGTAAAAAGTGGATGCTGGAAGCTAAACTCTTAACTTCAGAGTCTCTTAAATTAAAGTTTTTGTTTGTTTATTTGTTTGGTTTGGGTGGGTGTTTTTTTTTGGTTTGGTTTGGTTTTTTTGGTAATGCTGCATATGCAAGTTTACCAGTACTGAGACAAAGTTCTGCAGTAAGGAACACTGCCCAACCCTATACAGGAATGAAAAGAGAGAGAAAACAAAGTCTCTACCTATCTTAGAAATACTGCTTTGCAGGACACAAGGAAGCAAATAAAATAAGTATCAATAGAGTCAGTCAAAATGTTTGAATATGAAGAAAATTGTGAGTGGAATCCACCATTCATAAAAAGCCTCATTTTAAAAAGTCCTAAGGAAAATGTCTATTCTTTATGCCACATGTCATATGTCAAGGTACCAATTTGAAAATGAATGTCAAAAATGCAGATCTGCCCCAAAAGGGGGTATGTAGAAAGGGCCTTGTCTTACTGCACAGCCTTTTCTTTCTGTTTAGTCAAATTTCTTCTTTTTTTCTTCTAACTTTTCAACTCCTTTCATTACAGTGAGACATGACAGTTTGGAAGGAACGCTCTAAATTCCACTCATACCTGTACCTTTGTTTATTAAATTTGGATTAGCCACATCTGCACAGATCCACCAAAGGCAGTGAGGTTGTATTTATGACAGAAACATAATTTTAATAACTGGGAGCATCATTTGAAAGCAGGGGGGGTAAAGCTATCACTTAGGGAATAATTTGGCCTGCGGACTCTTCATTGCTGATGATGTGCAAGAAGATAAGGACACAGTCTGCCAGTGTCATTGCTGAGCTGGCAGTTAGTGACATAATCATCACTGGAGGTACAGGACAAACCCATCTGCTGTGAAGAACTGACACCTAGGGGGCTGGGCCGGGTGGGGGACAATGCCTGGTGGCTCTGGAGCGAGAGCAAGGCAGGAACTACAATGTGGTTCCCTGTCTCCTTCATTTCTCCTTCCTCCCAAGCTGAGGTGGGATGGGGCACTGGCACCTCTGCTGTGCTGGATTCCTTCCCTGCCTCCACGCTCTCAGCTGCTTGGGCTGACATTTGGAGAGCTCTGGCAGCAAGGCTTCCCTGAGAGTTTCCAGCCCAAACACTTCCCTGAACTGGCTTTTGTTGAGGAGACCCTGCTCCCTGGTGCCACAGGGCTCCCGTGCTGCCCCCCCTTATCGATACCGGGCCTAAAGCTCTGCTCTGAAAGGTCACGATGGAATCCTGAGGCCATGTATCAGGAATTTTTTCAAGGAGCTGTCTTTCAGAGATGAAAAACCAATGACTTACAAATAATATGGAACTTCATCTGCATAATGTGTGAGTGAAACTGTCTTTGTAAGCACGAGAGTGTCAAGAATGCCCAGGATGTGCTAGTTCTGTAAGTTTTTAAAGGCCTGTGCTTGAGGCACCGACTTGAGTGGGATTACTTGTAATCACCATTTTTCCTGGGGAAGTCTGGAAAACATTGCTTATGCCCTCACATATTTTATGCAAAATTCCCTCACATATCTCATGCAAAATTGCAGACCTGTGTCCCTCGTTCCCAACTGAGCTGAGAGCAGGTTCTGGGAGGGTGACTGCGGTGTCTGCCTGAGCCCTAAATCCCTCAGGGAGAGTGTGGGACTCACCTTTCCCCTCTCAAAACCCTTGTCTTGGATAAGACAATTCCCTGCTTAGTGCCTTCAGTCTGAGAAATGCAGCTTTAATGCCCGTCACACCATTAAGTGGCTGGGCAATGTCTTGGTCTGTGTAATGACCTCAGGTTTGCAGAATTCCTGGGACTCTGTACATCAGATCCAAAGTACCTGGTGTGTTCCCAGCTTTCCCAGAACAGGGACATTTGGAAAGATTATCCTGAGCACAGGGAGTAGTTCAATTCTGTCAGCTCAGTTATTTTGTCAGTGTAAACGTATTAAAATTATGGCTATACACTGGTGGTTTTTGCAACAGCACTTTGTGTTTATGGTTTTATCTCTTAAACTTTTTGTACTTAAAATTCTGTTAAAATACTTCAGTCATTTAACATGATATTGTTCTTAAACTTTCATTTGAATCTGAGGAGACAGCAGAGCATGTCGTAGCAGTTTTTTTCTTTACATGACTCCAGTTTTTTGGAAGTTTTTGTACTAGCATATTTTCAAGCATTTAAGATACCTATTGGTAGTTAAAACACCACACGGTTATCTACATGGCAGTGATTACCTTCCTTGTTTTACATCTCAGAATTACAAGTAAAGTCATCAAACAGTGGAATATGGCTGTTTTTAAGGTTCTCTAGACTAAGCAGAAATGTGCTGTTTGAATTTTTATTTAAAAAAAAAATCTCTTTTGGTTAACTTGAAAGGAATTCTTCACAAAATGCACAAAGTTGTCATTTGTTACAACAAAAAAATGAAATAAATGAGGCAATGGGAGAAGAGAATTGCAGACACTGGTACTGATCAGACTTACTGGTACATGCCATGGTTGGTGGGTCCTTCTCAGCTCTGAAATAACCTTTCTCACACTGGCAGACAGAAGTTGCTTCTGCGTGAGCCAAACTGTGTGGAGGACACTTGGAACACTTCACATTCCCAGCAAAAGCTTTATAGAATCCAGGCCTGCAAGCTGCAAAAGAAGAAAATAAGTTTCATTACTAGAAGCAAGTTTTGGTCATTGGTAACGTGTGTTTCATGCACTTATAATACTCCCTCCTGCCTTGCCAATCTCTCTCTCTCTCTATATATATATATGCTATTTTGTTCATACCGTTCTTCATAGTTTTTATTTTGGTATATGGACTTAAAAAATTATTCTGTTCTTGTTATATGATGGGCAATCATTAAAAGAGACTGCTACACAATTTACAGACAGTTCTCACTGGTGTTTGAAATTGTACCCAGACAACTTCACTAATATCACTAAATAAAAGAGCATTATCTGCTCCATGTGGTAACAAGAGAGAGCGAGATAACTCCTTATTTGACAGAACTATATATCTTATATATATATATCTCTTATATATCTTCCTATTCAAGTAACAAACACTTGAAGTACTTGATACACTTTCCCTCACAACACTTTGAGGGGACGGGGATGACACCCCTCTGTAGGGACAGCACAACCTCTCGTCCCTTTTTTACTGACCTTTAAAACAGAACCAAGTCACTCCAATAAATCTCATCATAAACCTGCCAGGTGTGCATTCTGAAATAATTGTTTTAAAGCCATCCAGACTTCATCACACATTTAAACCAAGATTTCTTCCTCTCTCCTGCCAGCTCCCACATCTCCCCATTCCCAGCACATATTGCAGTTCCTGTCTCCTGCTTCCCAGCATGAGAACAGAACAAGTGAAAGAGCAACTCCAACATGTACAGATTGTACAGACTCCTTTTCCTTCTGGCTCCTCCAGCAGTGTGATGGAAACCATTCATCCACGTGGCTTTTTCTCATTTTAACATATTCAAGACTACTTTCTCTGCAAGGCTAGAAGGAATGAGGCAGTGTTTCCTTCTCTTGTACTACGACACAGAAAAAATTTTAAAATAAGGGGTTTTCAATAAGTACCCCAAAATATGCATTTGGTGGATGCAGTGTCAGGTCATATAATGGAGTTATTAAAAAGTATTAACTCATAGATAACATATACACTGGTCAGTTTTTCTTCTGATTCCAAAGGCCTCTCTTGATGTAAAAGCAGTTTCACCTGCAGCTGAATAAGGTGAGATGACACTGCAGAAGATAGCACTCGGCTGCCTCTCACAACCCAAGAGCCAGTTTTTGAAATGCCATTTTAAGAGCTTAATTTTGACCCCACAATTCCAGCAGCTCTCCTAGTGCGTTGTTCTGACTTTGCTGAACAGACATGAGGGAGGAATCCTGCCCTGCTGTCACTGGCTCAAAAAAACAAAAGCAGCATTTCTGGTGTTCAAGATGAGAGGGGTGGGAAAGACTCCCCCTTGAACGTGGGCTGCTGATCTGACACAGTGGTGATTACAGGGAGTGCTAATTCTGCACTGATTGGAAAGACAGCAGGTTTGGTGCTGGAAGGAGGCAGCACTGCAGATCCAGGCTGTGGGCACCAATTCCTCTAGTTTTGCTGGAAGGAAGGAAGGGAGGAGGTAAAGCAGAAAAAAAAGGAATAGTGTTAGGCTTGCTTGCTCCCTTCCTATTTAAATTCTTGCCCTTAATAAATACCTTCCAGGCATGATGTGCAGTACAAAGAAATTTGTGACTAGTGAGTTGGCAGTTCCAGGCTACAGTTTCAGTCAAAGCAGAATGAGTACTCTTTAAAACCCTCATCACTTCTAAAATTTACATCTGTCCCTTCTGAAATCTGTCTTCCTTTCCGTCCCCCCAGTGACACGTCACTTTGGATCAACAGAGACAGCATTCTTTTTCTAGGGCAATATTTCCTCTAAATTTCGAGCAGTTCACTGTTACAAAATAAAACTCAAGGGTAAGACTCATTTCCAATTTCAAAAAGCAAATGTTTTATTCTGAAATAGTATTCTCTATTGTATTTAAAGCAGTTATGGTTTAGGCATGGTGAGTCTCCTCAAAGAAAGCATAAATATACTTGCAGAGAAGGTGGGGAAAACCAGTGGAGTAATAAATAGGTAATTTTACTTCTTTTCAAGTCAACTCAAGTGCGCTTATCCTTTAAACCAAGTACGTACTACAAGTTCTGTGGCAGGGGGAGGTGTCAGTGAAGCTTTTCAGTAGAGGTTTTCAAAGCCATTGACAACTCACTCCCCATTCAGAGGCAGAACCACACATTTAGGATAGCTGGGTACCTGCAAATAAAAAACAGCCCCTCATAAAAAAGATACAATAAGACAAGATGAAAGCCCCCAAAAGATCACAACCTTGGGATAACTCGCCTCTCTGGGTAACTCAGTGAAAAAAAATAACCTGTTTCTCTATCAAAATCAATGAATATGCAGCACAAGTCTGAAACACAGCACTTCAGCTGCTGTGCATGCCTAAGCTGAGACTCTGACAACAATTATTCTGTTTCAGTGCTACAGTTAACCAAAATAATTGCTAAATTTACCATTTTCCACGGAAAATCTGCAAGGACTAGAGTTACTACACAGGATTTCAAAAGCTCATTTAGCCAGTGCCTCAGCTGATGTAATTTCAGAAATAGTGTCCCTCTGAAGAAAAGAAAGGGAATTTCTCTGTTCCCTTATGTGTCTTTGTGAAACTTCAGGCTGTACAAAACCACTGTCAGCCAACTGTATCTTACAGCAGTTCCAGTCAAAACAGGAAAACTGCACAAGGAGTGGTACATGCATAGTAATTTCTGATTTATTCGTGACATTCTGCACATGTTTGTGCACGTTCTGATGTGAGGTTGCATTACTGCATCTGAATCACCTGATGCTAACCAAGTTCCTCTGACTTTGCCCAGCTTTCTGTTGTTCCCATTGTTTATTCTCCCCGGGGCAGTTTCAGCAACACAAAATTACTGAGTGCACAAACTGCCTGGTGGGCGAATGAGAAACTCAAAACCTTTTGGTTACAAACGGGTTGCATTTTTGTATTTGAGGAAGGAAAAATAACCATCTTTCCCCTACAAAATTGTCTCCTATGCGAATGTATCACAAGTTAACAGTTTGTTCCCTGTGTTTTTGCGTGCAGAAAGTTTAGTTTTGCATGGGTTGATAAATCAGTATTTTCAAAGCATTTCTCATAACGTTTTCTTCACTCAGCAAACAGTTTTGCATCTGCCATTTTCACAAATCCTTTGTGCGCATCTTAGTGTAAACTAAAATCTAAACTATGGAAGGCTGTCATCTGAAAAAAGTTTCTAATGATGACTGACTACCAAAAACCCTGAAGTTTGTCTTTATCTGTGTTGCCACACAGTATTTTTTCCTACCTTCCAGATCACAGCCAGGCATCTTATTTCCCCTCATGTTATCTAACACAAGTGACTCTGTGAGCCGCTAATTATAGGAACTGTATGAAATTTGACTTCTGTAAAGCCTGGGGGAAGATAATATATTGTCTTAATGGCTAAGTAATTAGCAGGGTATCGGAATGAACAATTGGAAGACACTGAAGTTTTCTCCAGTGACATACAGGAGATCATGCAGAGAAGCACTGATAATTTAATTGGCCTCATAAAAGACAACACGTCCATGAACGTGCTTTGCTGCAGCTTTGTCAGGGTTTGGCTATGAGGCTTTCAAAGTATAGAACTTTTGTAATTAATTTTCCGTATTTCAAGTTTAACTATATGGCATTTAGCTTTGTTTGTTCATTTTCAAGGAGTTTTTGAAGTGCCCAGTGCAGTAAATAAGTTGACTGCTACAAAATGCTGCCCTGGCTCTCTCTGCAGGAGAGTCTTTGCTGCCTGAGGCTGTCACAGCCAGTAAGTTCCTCCCAAACCTTGCGGAGTGCACAGTGTAGAGACACAAAATCCAGAAAATGCAAACCACCTTCGTGGTCACAAACCTTGATGCTTAAAGACAAACAAGCAAAGCAAAACAAACAAACAAAAAAAGCAGCATTTTCACTGCTCTGAGGGAGCATTTCACTGTGAAAGAAAGAAGCTGATTCCAGTTTCCAGCTGTTTCTCATCCAAACTGACCACTACAGAGGGAGTTGAAGGGGAGGGAGTCCAAAGGAAATCCAGGAGCAGTTTTAGGTGTGTCTGACGCTGCTGGTCTGTGTGTGGGAAGGCATTTCTCATGAAAATGGATTTTTTTTATAGCTTGCTAAGAACTCATCAATCAAATGAAACCGGAGAAGACTCCGTTGTCCCTTACAAGGAATGGCAATCATCAGCAGCCGTGGGAGAGGTGTTTTAATCTACCTGAATTGCATAATTTGTTACGCTTTTCCACCTCATATATTCTTTTAAAATTGCTCACTGAATCTCACTAATGCACTATGAGACAGATATCTTTCATATTTGCTATACTCTGACAACAGATGATGATTTCAGTTTTAAAGTTCTCTCACCCCCCTGATATCTGATCAATATATGAAAAGGACAATCTAATAAGGCCTGTTGTCTTCTAGCACTGTGCAGAAACAAGGAGCTGTGACATTACTTCAACCAATTTATATTTTAGTAAAATGTCTAGAAAAGAACAAAGAAGTATCTAGAAAAGCACAAAAGAAAAGAATGTATCAAAATATGCACACTGCATATTACAAAAGGCAGAATACAATCCCAAAGGTGAGATTAGGATATTAAAGAATTAGGACCATAAAGGTATGAAAACAACCTTTTATTGTGAGTCCTATCTGGATAAACAGTCTCAGGTCTCTTCTTTCCCTACTGACTGTGAGACTGTGCAGGATGAACTGCCAGGAACACGAGGCATCATGGAGAGCCCCAGCCATCACACATCAGAAATGATGGTAACACTGCTTTGTTGAAACCACAGCAATAAAAGACATCCTGTATCAGGAGAGCAGCTTTCTGCATTGCTGCTGGAGACTTTTAGAGCCCATAGAAAGATTCTCAGAGATCTAGGAGGGACACTGTTCATCTGTACTCTGCCTTCCCCTTCATCTCCAAGCCAGACAGAGCCAAGTGACAGTGCAGGAATAACACGTGTAACCTGTGCTCCTTTCTTTTCTGAATCACTGTCACAGGTTGGACC